GGGGGGGGGAAATGTCTGCCCCGGTCGCCCAGAACTCTGGTTACGCCACTGATTAGGACTAAATATTGTGGGGCAGAGCATAGTGTGGGATATAGATCAGCTCATAGATAGTACATACCGCTCTTCCCAGCTGCATGTGAGTTGGCAGCTCAGCATTCTTTCTCAGAAGCTCCTGGAACTCTTTTTTCATCTGATCCAGCTCCTGAAGCTTCCTGGCCTTCTTCTCCTCGGCTTGTTTCATAAGAAGATCATGCTGGAGCTTCTGAGTGGCATTCTCTATGCTGGAGAAGAAGCAGAGGGGTCATTAGGGATGTGTTCCATCAGATTCGTGTCCTGGTGACCTAGTAGTCTTGGAAATATGAAGGTATATGGTGTCTTTTGTTGCTTTCTGAGACACTTCAGGTCCTTGGTAGCAGCCCTTGGATCCAGCAGTCCTGTCACTGGTGGGCTACAATAAAGTATATCCGGGCCAGCACCCCAGGCTTTCAAGGTAGCCAAGACACTTCCCATTTGAAACTGAAGCCCAAATCCAGACAAAACTTGTTTTTATTTTGGACAGAACCTCAATGTGCCCTTATGTATAAAGCTGTATAACCCTAGGTTGTCTGTTGTCATCAAGCTGTATCCCTCAATGGACGCTGGAAAAATACCCTAGCAGAGATTCTAACCATTCCTCACCCGTAGAGTATCTAAAACCTGCCGCCCAAATTCACCTCGGATTTAAAAAAAGAACAGTGGCCCACCATGTGTAGAAATAAAGAGAGCAGTTGAAGCAAAAGCCTGAATATTGACCTTTACATCATGAATCACTAGAATAATACGTTTACCTGTAAGCGTTGGGATCCTCAATATCCTCTGCATGTTTTTCCCTCTCTTTATTAGTCTGGAAGATAATATAGATGTAGTTACAAGTATTCCAGACAAGCATTTGCTATGACTACACCATGCATACATTATGCAGCACAACAATGGGTAAGGACAAGTAGGAGCAACCCAGGTGAGGTCAGTTGGAAATAAAATTATACTAACAGCAACATAAGTAACATAGCTTTGTAGGTGGCATGGAGTAAGTTCCACCAGGAGAGGTGTGCCCTCCGTTCTTCATTTCTGCCATATGTGTAGTTATGTCTCCTTGTCCTAGTGGGGACTCCATATCTGCTACATTGACTAGGGTGCTTTCTCATGGGGTGTCTCGAACGTTTTGCACAGAGGCACTGGGACTCAGAACTCTGACGTGAAGGGAGACTGAGGACTCTGACGTGAAGGGAGACTGAGGACTCTGACGTGAAGGGAGACTGAGGACTCTCATGTGAAGGGAGACTGAGGACTCTCATGTGAAGGGAGACTGAGGACTCTCATGTGAAGGGAGACTGAGGACTCTCATGTGAAGGGAGACTGAGGACTCTCATGTGAAGGGAGACTGAGGACTCTGACGTGAAGGGAGACTGAGGGCTCTGACGTGAAGGGAGACTGAGGACTCTGACGTGAAGGGAGACTGAGGACTCTGACGTGAAGGGAGACTGAGGACTCTCATGTGAAGGGAGACTGAGGACTCTCATGTGAAGGGAGACTGAGGACTCTCATGTGAAGGGAGACTGAGGACTCTCATGTGAAGGGAGACTGAGGACTCTCATGTGAAGTGAGCTCCTGTTATGATGGGGGGACATAAAAGGGGGGCACTGATGTGAAGGATGGGCTACTGATGTAACAGGGGCTCCGGGTGTAAAAGAGAGGGACTCTGATGTGAAAGGAGGGAGCTCCTGATGTGACCTTAGATGAGAGTAAGGGTGTTGGAGCATTCTAGAGAGTATTGGGTGCAGCTAACATAAAGCAAGGTAAAGATAGGGGGAACTTTTAGAGACTGCGAGTAACTGGAAACGTACCTTAGGCGAGGGTAAGGGGGCATTCTAGAGAAAGTGTTGTGTGAAGGTAACAGGAAAGTCACCTTAGGTGTGGGTAAGGATGGTAACAGGTAACAGGAAACTTCCCGAGCCTTAGGTATGGGTAAGGGTGGTGTTATTCTGGAATGAGTGGCTTGCATGTAGACATACAACTAGCAAGGGTCAGTAGCACCAGTAAACCTCACAAAGAGTGGGGTACCTAGGTCAGGGGTAAAAGGTGGAGTACATTCTATTAAGTGCAGGTACAATTAGAATATTGGAATATTGGGATTGCTAACTTGCTACGGGAGGGTCGGTAAAATGGAATATTGTAATTGGGTTGGGGTACAGATAGCGGGGACTAAACTCCAACTGATGGTCACTGATAAAATGATTACAGAAAGGATTGGATAGGAATATTGTGTAAGAATGAGCTGTAGCTAGACATACCCTTGGAGATGGCACTTTTGCTTTCTTGACTTTCAGGTCTCGCTCAATATCCTCCATAGAAAGGATGCTGAAGGTAAAGATGTTGCCATCAGCTCCACAGGTTACTAGGTACTGGTTGTCATAGCTGGCGCTGATGGCCTGGATGCTGCCATATTGATTGTCATGGACCCCGAGGGACCAATAACTGCCAATGGAGGTGAGTAAGGGGTCATTGGGCTGGAGAGGATAGACACGAACTGCCCCATCCTTCATCCCACAGAACAGCAGCTTCTTGTTGGAGCTATACATGGAATAAGACAGAGACAAGATTAAAGGGCAACTCCAGGAAACAAACATCGATCGGTGAACTGCTAAAGTCAGAAAGTCCACTAAATTTACTTTTAATCTCTCCTTCCCTCCCCAACGCTTCAGAAAATACACCTGTAGAATCAATAAATATGAGGGGAGGCCAATAAGTTCTTACCCTCAGGGGCGTCCCGAGGCTGGGTGACACCCGGAGCGGTAACCGAGTGTCACCCCACCGAGACGTCACTGTGCATGCGCGTGACACCCGGGTGCGGGCTGCACCCCCCGCACCCACCCTGTGACGCCACTGCTTACCCTCACCATGATCTAGATGCGCTAGGGATCTGATATACAGTAGGTGGATATCTTAGTAATATGCATGACCGTTTCTTGTTTTTGTAGGTCGCTGTGAATTCTAGTTAGAGCCACGATAAATGGAGTAGGTGTCATGCCGGACAAAGTTGAATACCGAGCCGTGATTAGGTTCCTCCAACTTCAAGGGAAATCTGCCCAAATAATCCATGAAGAGATGCAAGCGATTGTGGCTTTGAATCTCTGCCCCATCCACCTTGCTCACCTGACCTGGCACCTTCTGACTTCTTCTTGTTTCCAAATCTAAAGAAACATTTACGGGGAAGACGTTTCCACGATGATGAGGAGGCGGTCATTACTGAAGTTGATCGCTGGTTTTCCTCCAAATCTGCATACTTCTACGCAGATGGTATGAAAGTTCTGTTCCACAGATGTGAAAAGTGTGTAGCCATAGGAGGTGGATATGTAGAGAAGGAAGAGTCAGTGGACTAAATGTCAGATCCCTAGCACATCTGGATCTTGGTGAGGGTAAGAACAAATTGGCCTCCTCTCGTAATGTGCATGTGGTAGATATAACGTGTCTGGAAATTCATTGAATCCATTTTTGATCGTAATAAAATGCAAACAGACTAATAAAAATACTGCATGCGGGATGTTTATGAGAACTGAGCCTATCCAATCTTTAAGAGGACCTGCCATGGGAACATAAAAAACAAAGCACAGGCACCTAGGTGCACATACCCACAGGAGCCTTCCAACCCTTCCTGTAACAGCAGAAACCTGGGTCATTCTGATGGGCAAAGCTTCGACCTGATAGTGCCGAACCTTGACCTGACTCTGCCTCCTACATGTTCCTATTGACCTGCGAGGATGCCAAAATAGTGATGGGCCAATGTGTGGGTGTGTGACATTACCCACAAGTGTCTGCAACCCTCTGCCGCGCATGCGCAAAGTCCCGTTTTCCGTACCACTGGGAACCGCGCCCTTGCGTGCGTGCCACGGACCGGCCAAGAAAAAGCACGCCAAACGGCACACACGATGTGACGCACTGGACTAATTGTTCCCACTAAGCTCAGCCTGCATGCCTCCATATTGCTGGATTGTCTTCTGCTAACATCTACCCGGATCTGCCTTGACCATTCTTGCCTGCCGCCTGCCCCTGACCTCGGATTGTTTACTGGACTTTGCCTCTGCCTCATCCCTGTGTACCATACCTGCCCGATTGGTGTGACCTTGGCTCGTTGTCCTGGATTTCGGAATTGGCCTGGTTCTACTACAGCACCTTGATTTCAGCTTGCACAGTGTTATCACCACTGGCACCCGTGCCACTTGCTGTCTACTTGGACTCTGTCCCCATCTCCAGAGTCCTCAGGAGATCGGAAGAGACACATTTAGTCTCCAACCAGGTACGTAACAAGAAGTGTCTGGACACCCGGCATTCGGCTGTGGCAGAACTTGGGTGTGGAAGGCTGCTGCAAGCATGTGCACCTCTATCTAGGTTCCTGTATGAGACATCTGAACCAATTTGTTTTTTTTTACCCCATGACAGAGTCATGAATGTCCCACATTCCTTGAGGAGTGTCTGCACCTGAAATGAATCTTGTGGATGGGGTTGGTGCTGGTGTTGTCGATGGGCAAGGCGCTTAGTGGCTCATCCTTCCTCGTAGAAGGGTCTGATTGGTCTTCGCTTTTAAACTCACAGAGATAAAGAAACCCGGAGTCATAGCCATCCTGCAGGGAGAAGGAAGAAAACATTTATGCGGACTGTCTGTTAGTAGACCAAGTCATTGGCCCCAAGACAATTGAGCTCCAGCCTTGCTGATGTTATAGGTTGTACCATGGACAGCCAGAACTTCCCAGGAGAGGCATAGAAGCCGCACAGGATGGGGCTGGGCTCTTTTGAGATGTAAAATTCTGGAAGCTTCTCCTCTTCATCATCATGCGGCTCCTGTAACTCCTCTTCAGTCAGCTCCACTCCTTGTGCCTTCTGTTGCTGCACCCAGGCCTGGTGCTCCTCCAGCTTCTGCTCTCTGTTCTTCTGCATCAGGGTCAACTGCTCCTCTCTCTGGATTACACAGAAGAACAAGAGATAAACGCAGTATATAAGAAGCGAGCATGACAAGGCGTAATCAAACAGGAACTGTGTTACTGGCAGGTGAAAAGTCCTTATAATGCAGGCACTATATCTAAATACTTGTAAGCTGCAATACAATACAATCTTGTTTTTGGATTTCAATATGCTTAGAATAAGAATTATTCCCCCGTGCACCCAGGGGAGTGATGCAACATGTCTGGTACTCCAAAAGCTGGAGGAGCATGTAACGCAGTCTCCTTGATACCATGTGACAGCGCTGGAGTCTGGTGGCTGGCCGCTAATGCACCCAGCATTGTCACACAAGGGTCAGAATAGAATTTAAATCCCCACTGAAGCCCCAAATCAGGACATACATAAGTTTCATTCTTCATACTCCCTCTGGCCCAAAAGGGAGCAACAGACAGGGTAAGTCTAAGCAGCTGCAGGGGCCTGCATTAAAGTGAACCTGTTGTTTTGCTTTACATGGGCAAACTACAGGTTCTCTTTAGCCTAACATGCTAATACTAACCCAACTCCTGCAGATCCCACCTTGCTTTGTTTGGTGCTAAAGTTATCCGGCCACCCTGTGCCTAAATCTGCACCAAAAGCTTTCCCATTATGTATCATTCAAGTTTGTGGGGATCTGACCATCACACCTATATAAAGGTTTTAAGGGCATTGTATTCTAAAACAATGGGCATCCATATGGAATTCCCCACCTTCGCAGCTACAAAAGCCTCCACTCCTTTGGGAAGGTTTTCCACAAGATTCTGGGGTGTTTCTGTGGGATTTTCTGCCCATTAAACAAAAGAGCATTTATGAGGTCAGGTGTTGAGGTTGCATGAGAAGACCTGGCTCACAATCAGCGTTCCAATTCATCTCAAATGGGTTCAGAAGGTTTGCAGGCCACTCGAGTTCCTCCACACTGGGACTCATCAAACCATGTCTTTATGGAGCTGGCTTTGTACACAGAGGCACAGTCATGGTGGAACAGAAAAGGGCCTTCACCAAATTGTTACTACTAAGTTGGAAGTTCACAAATGTCTTTGTATGTTGTAGCATTAACAGTACCCTTCAATGGAAACATCTGAACTCAGTCATTTGGAGGAGTATCCACATATTTCTGGCCATATACAAGGTGTCATGGTCAGGTGTCCACATATTTTTGGTCATATACTAGGTGCCATGGTCAGGTGTCCACATTCTTTGGCCATATTCCATGTGCCATGCTCAGGTGTCCACATACTTTGGCCATATACTAGGTGCCATGGTCAGGTGTCCACATACTTTGGCCAAATACAAGGTGCGATGGTCAGGTGTCCACATTCTTTGGCCATATACAAGGTGCCATGGTCAGGTGTCCACATACTTTGGCCAAATACAAGGTGTCATGGTCAGGTGTCCATATATTTTTGGTCATATACAAGGTGCGGTGGTCAGGTGTCCACATTCTTTGGCCATATACAAGGTGCCATGGTCAGGTGTCCACATATTTTTGGCCATGTACAAGGTGCCATGGTCAGGTGTCCACATACTTTTGGCCATATTGTGCACATTTCTGTCAGTCTTAAAATTTCTGTCTACAGCACACTTAAGTTATATGATGTGGTTTTGATGTTTCACGTAGACACATATTATTCACCCTAGCAGCTAATAAGCTGAATTGTGCTCATAAACCTGCAGACTGCACATATATTACATGGAGGAATTATTCCTCACACTCTGTAACCCTCAAAATCATCTCAGCCCCGAACCCAAAACTGCGTCTCATACCTCAAGCTTTGATTTGATGCTGGCGAATCGGAAGTAGCGCAGAGGCAGATTCGCGATCTCGTAGGTAGAGTAGACTGGGTTGTTTTTTTCAGCCGCCGGGGCCGGGATCTCCACAGCAAATTCATTTTCACATAGAACCAGCAACGTGTTTTCTTCCTGCCAAGACCAACAAAAGGGCTTCACTGCTGAGGACATTTCATGCAGAAGATTCCCACGGAGTTGAAGTGTGAGGAACGGCAACATTTGAGCATGCAACAGACTTCAATTGAATTTTTTTTTCTATGGTGTTCAGTAAATTAAAACATTAGTATATATGGACACAGTATTATGAGTAAAGGTACACCCTAAATAAACAACATGTAGGTTGCTCCATAAACAATTGCCTTTCTTAAATTAAATGGCTGCATGGCATTTCTCAGGGCAGATCTCCAGATGATGACAACATTAGCAATGAACATTGGCAATGCAGCTTATAGCTTCCATTGGAAGTCCATATGACAGGGTGACAATGTAGAACAACAATGGTAGACAGGGACAGAGCGTTGTCACCCTTAATCAGGAACAAGGACCTTGGCAGGATCACCAGGCGTCATTGTAATGAAAGGTGCAAATTTAATAACATTGAAAATGACTTTGGATATTGCATCACAATGTTATAATTGATACGAGATATTAGTGATTGGGTTCACGGCTTCATTTGGAATTGTATATGTTACCTTTTATGACATATATACATTTTGGAATTATCTTAAAGCTGTATCCAGATATAGACGTTTTAAGTTGCTGAAAAAGCTGCCTAAGGGGTATAATATTAATTCACTGGGCTATTCATCCTGTAAATGAGTATTAGATATTAGCCAGAGTAAGATTTCATGGGATTCACCCTTTTGTTCTACATGACATCATTGCCCATACTTGACGTGACATCATTGCCCATACTTGACTTGACATCATTGCCCATACTTGACTTGACGTGACATCATTGCCCATACTTGACGTGACATCATTGCCCATACTTGACTTGACGTGACATCATTGCCCATACTTGACTTGACGTGACATCATTGCCCATACTTGACTTGACATCATTGCACATATTTGTCTTGACATGACATCATTACCCATACTTGACCTGACACCATTGCCCATGTTTGACGCAACATAACATCATTACCCATACTTGACCTGACATGACATCATTACCCATACTTTATTATTATTATACAGGATTTATATAGCGCTAACAGTTTGCGCAGCGCTTTACAATATAAGGAAGACATTACAGTTACAATACAATACAAGATGGCTTACAATCTGAAAGAGGAGGGGAGAATGATACATGAGGAGGGAGCTGTGTGGGGATGAATTATTTGAGAATGTGAAGGTTCAGTGGTTAGGTCGAGGTGGGATCGGCTTCCCTGAAGAGATGAGTCTTTAGGGAACGCCTAAAGGCAGTCAAGGTGGGAGATAGATGGACCTGACATGACCTGACATGACACCATTACCCATATTTGAACAAAAACCAAGGTGTCCCTAACCTGATTGCACACTGCAAAATGGTATTGGTAATGGTATCGGTAATGGTATCGGTAATGGTATCGGTAATGGTAATGCTATTGTCTTGGTATTGTAAAAAGTAGCAATCCATCTTTCATTAACAAAAGAGCAGTTTAAACATTCAAGCTTGTTCAAAAACTGTTGTTAGCTTTACTCCACTTACATCCATTAGGCCCGGTTCACACCTGGGCGTTTTGCAGCGCGTTCCTACGCTCCGCAAAACGCTCAAACACCGAAATCCAATTATTTCCTATGGGCATGGTTCCCACCTGGGCGTATTACAGGCCGTATGAACGCGCTACAAAACGCCTTATGCCCAAAGAAGTACAGGAGCTTCTTTGGGGCGTTTTTGTCGCGCTTATCCATTGGGATACAGCCAGGTAGCCCTCAGGAACGCGCGTTTGTCGCGCATTTTGTTTACCGCGAATCGCAGTAAAAACACGCGCCGACAAACGAGCATATTCGATACGCCTAGGTGTGAACCCAGCCTTAGAAGAAGAGATAAGTATATATCACAGACATTATAACTGCCACCTCTGCAAGGCCCAGCAACTTACGTGTGTGGGAGGAGACCATTGCAATTCCTTAACAGGTCCAGGAACTCGGATAAATCCAATGGGCTCATAGGTGTCGCCAACGGCAAAGAAGAAGACGGTTCTGTCTGTGCTCTATGGGGTGAGAACGGTTATATATACAGGTTACAGAACAGGAGAAAATTATAATCACATGTTTTGTTACACGTGAGGTCTCTTTGGACTTTCTAGCTGTAAGCTCATTCAGCTACGTCTCTAGTTTCTAGCACATTCTCTGCAAGTTTTAATACCACAAAAAATTGTTATTTCTCTCCCACATTTATTACCTCTCACCACAC